TGTAGGAAGTGGGAGGAATTGAAAGAGAAGTTGTTGAGTGTGAGGACGAGTTCGGCTAAGCGGATGAGGGTGTCAGTGGAGGGGGACTGGTCGGGCCTGCGGGACAGGAAGAAGCGGAGGGCCTTAAGGCCATCTGCATGGGGAATGCAGGTGTAGAGGGACTGGACGTCCATGGTGAAGATGAGGTGTTGGGGACCGGGGAATTGGAAGTTCTGGAGGAGGTGGAGGGCGTGGGTGGTGTCACGGACATGGGTAGGGAGTTCCTGGACCAAGGGGGAGAAAATGGAAGTCTGCAAGTGCTTAGTTTCCACAAGATCAATGCTACTAATCCCATTTACCTATCTTTCCCCCATATTTACTTCTGCTTCATCCAATAGTCCATTCTTAAGATGCAACCAAGATGATTTTTGCTTCAATAGAGCATTACAATGTGCATTCTATTGCCTTTGCGTATTTGAGAAAATCCTCCCCTCTGTCATATATCTCTTTGCTGTTGTCTGTGCCCTGAGTAGACAGCATATTATTTTGCCACCATTTCCTCTTCCTGTACAGATAGATTAAAAACCAGTATCGTCCTGCACAAATACCATTAACTCTTTGCTACTTCGGTAATTTACCTTCTAACATATTGTAATGTTATCAGTGTGATCTTAGAGGGCTATAGGATAATTAACGAAGTAGGAACACTAAAGCCAGAATATCATTTGAAGCTAAATTGTTAATAAAGGCAGCAGCATTTCATAACTGCATTTATTAGTGACCCCATTTCTATCCCAAAGTTGAAATTGAAGTTTTGTGCTGATGATTCTTACACTCATCCATTCACAATTCCTCAAGTAATGTATGATGCATTCCTGCATGCAGCAACACTTGGGAATACTAGGCTTAGACTGATACGTAGTTTTAATTGCCACTTCACATGCTGAGTAAAGACTCTCTCCAGTGAGACAGCTATATCACCTCCCTTTGAAACTGTGTGGTATTATCACCATCAACATCGGTCATCATTGACCAAAAACCACCAGAACTGGCTCTTCAATTGCTATGGCTGCTAGAGCAGTCATTGAGTAACTTATCACCCGATGCTCCAAAGCCTACTCGCCCTTATTACAGAACAGTCTTGCCTTGACGTATGACTACAACAACAGACCAGAAACACCACAAAACAATCTGATAGGTGCATCATTGACTGACATAAAACATCATCCAGATTATGACCATACACCATGGCTGATCTATGTACTGTCATGTTTTACAACAACTTCTAAATCTGTGATTGGCTCCACCTAAAAGGCAGCAGATGCATGGAAACAACATTGCCTCCAGGTTCCTGATTTTAATCATTGCTTCCTACTCAGTGTTGAATTCCTTGAATTTCTGACCTAAAACATTGAGGGCAAGCCTTTGCTGTAACGGTTGAAGAAGGTCCATCGCTACCATCTTTAAGATCACTAGAGCCAGACAGTAAATGCCAGCTTTTTTTTTTTAACTTGGTACCTACGTTAAAAATGGATAATATTTAGAAACAAAATAGAATGCATTTGAGGACACACTGAAATTCCTTTCAAAAGTCATGATTGGACTTCCAGATAAAGCAGTGGTTTGAATCCCTGGAATTAAGATCTATTGAATGTTGTAATGAGCAATCATCTTTTTGAAAGCATGAATTAAGGTATACAGTATGAACATTCTCATTGAAAAGGAGTCTAGACAGGGAGTATTGGCAGTCTGCTCAACTTTGTAGCATATCATCCACCCATATTTTCCAACAGTGGTCACTGCATTATCATAGAGCGTGGGAATGAAAGCTGAATATTTGCAAGGGGTGCAAAGGAAAAACGCAACAATTCTTTTCCTGGCAAACTGGACTGATAATTCATCATGTACTGGGGCATGAACTTGGAGTCTACTGATCTGTACGGATCTTTATCCGTCTCCATCAAATGAACCAGGTGGAAAGCAGACCTCAATGTTGCTGCTAGTTCGGGGCAAATGATAAAGTTTGAGTTTTTTAAGAAAAGATTCAGTTATGAATTCTGCTCACCTGCAATTGAGCATATTTTTGAGGTAATAGTGTGAAGATTTATCCATACCAGACCAAACTTTAGACCTTGCAGCGAGACTTTGTCCTTTTTGGAATTGGCTAACTCAATAGGATATCTAGAATTGTGCACACTCCAACAATCTGAAAGCTTGATTTACTTTGCAGTTTTTTTGGAAAGATTGAGTTAACTGCATAGGGAAACTTCTGATTTTAATTATTGAAATCAGAATGACAAAACAGTGCAGGTAGGAAATTAGTCTGCAAGATGAGGGTCTTGTCTAACTGCCCTGAGTTGCTCTGGTTAGGTGACATGCAAGGTATGATGCATGTGCATTAAGGGGAATGTTTATCATATAGAGGTATGAGTAGAAGAGCTATTTTATGCTATGGATGGTAATGACCTGGAACTTGTAGGCTAAAAGAGTGGTGAAAGCACAGACCATTCCTTTCGAAGAAGTTAAAAGGAAGTGGAGGCTACAGGGATAGAGAGAGGAAATGGGATTCACTGGATTGCCATTCAGAGTTGACATGGATTCAGTGGATGGAATGGCCTCTTGCCCTCAGGCATTTTGGGTAAAACATGATGTAAAGAAATTCAATTAACATGATAAATTATTCATAAGGTTGCAGAATCAGAATTCCGTTGAAAGTAAAATGATTTGATTTCTTCTATTTAAATAGTTGCAAAATATACCATATTATCTTTGACATAGTGCTTCAGAGTGGAGTTATGGTTGGGACATACATTTGTGTAATTTATCTGTGTATTTACTGACAAGCAGATAATTCAGTTTGGTGGGGGGGGGGGGCGCGGTCTCAGATTTGTTCCAGCTGCAGCAAATAAAAAACCACAGTGGTCCTCCCAGCACATAAACTGAACTCTGAAGAAGGGTCACTGGATCTGAAATGTTAACTCCACTTTCTCTCTACAGATGCTGCCAGACCTGCTGAGTTTCTTCAATTTCTGATTCTGTTTGATTTCCAGCATCTGCATTTCTTTGGTTTGTTTTGTTTAGTGGTCCTCTCCATACCTTGTAGCAGAAACCAGTCAGAGTTGGCTTTGAAAGCTTTGGGAAGGCAGTTTTGTATCCGCCAAAATTGGTTTACAAGAAAAAGGAGCTGAGTCTGTCGGAAAAATTGGAGGGTCATGTATTCAAAGAACTAATGGAAAGATATCATAGAATCATACCTTGGAAGATTAGCTGGAATTCTGGAGGGCTGTGGTTTGGTTCTGAAAGAAATGAGCAAACTCAAAGATTGTAATGTATGAAAGAATTCTTGAGGGAAGTAAAAAGTAGAACTGAGTTTATAGCGTAAGTAGTTATTAAGTTAATAGTGCTTGCTTTGAATAATATTTGATGTACAGTAAAGTTTTAGCTTAAAATCATCTGATGATTAATTGTCAATTAACTGTTGGGTTTTTGGATTTCTTCATTGAGCATTAATTATACGTTCCACAGATGCTGTCTCAGCTGAGTATGTCCAGCATCTCCTGCCTTAATTTCAGATTTCCAGTACCTGCAGTATTCTGCTTTTTGTGTCTGGGTTGGGGTTAGTGAAATTTTCCATTGTATGGGAGTTCAACAATTCTGTCAGCAGAAAATTTTAAGAACACAATTTCAACTTCATTGCTCCCAACAGATTGTCTCTCTCCGGGCTGGGAAGGTCAAGTGGTAGTCATGCAGCAGTACTATTAGCTGCATTATGGAATGTAATTATTGGGCAATGAGGGTGGCAGGATTCTCATTCCAATTCTACATGGAATTTACAGCACCAAAACAGTTTGTTTGTTTAGCTCCAGTTCACTTAATTTTAAAGATGTCCATTAGGCTACCCATTAATCTCCTCTTTGAAGGAAATGTCCCGGCCTCTTTTTAGGTTTTCTTGATCATTATAAACTCCCAGTTCTAATGTCATGCAAATGTTTCTTCACCAACTTCAGTAACCTTTAATCTTATGTACTTGACTCAATCCATCTCATTCCTACTGAGGTTCCCTTGGGGGTAATGTATGTGCTACTCTAAGAGCACAATCACAACTCTGACCCTTCGTAAATCATCTAAAGTCCACTCCCCTAACATTCCTTATGTAATTCGATTATTGCACGGGTGGAATTTAAAAGCAGCCTGTTCCGGCAGAAATATTGTCAATGGTGGCACTTGATGATTAAGACCCTGGAGATCTTGAGAAGAAGTGCTGCCAGGTAAACCTCTTAAAAAATCCCACATACTGTTTGTCATTGTCTTCATTTGATGGATTGTAAGTCTGTTCAGAATTAGAATGTGGTTTGTTTTGAGGATTTCCTGAGTTTGCATTCTATTCAGTCCAGTTAAATTTACATTTTGTTTTTTCCTGTTAACAGATCTGGCAGATTCCAGAGAATGGACTGACAGTTCCCATCACAGAGCCTGTTGTAATCTTGGAGGGGCATGCCAAGAGAGTTGGAATTGTATCCTGGCATCCGACTGCACGCAATGTTCTTCTCAGTGCAGGTGAGGTGATCTGCTGCTCTCTCTGTCTCCTATACTCGCTTAATGTGGGCTTGTTATTCTGCTGCTGCAATTGAAACAGGGATCTGCAATGTCTTTGCATTCTGAAGGAATTCTAACTGTAACAACAGTTTTCTGTTTCCTGAATGCCGGCTTGCCATGTTAAGAACTCTGTCTCCTTGGTAGACATATTTCTGCTCATTTATTTACCAGCTGCGGTATGGTCCTTTTTTATTTGTAAATTTCAAAATATTCCTGTGATAACATTAATTAAGCTTGGCATACTAGAAATCTGTCAGAAAAGGCTGAAAATCCATGCAGCTAATTCCAATTTTTTTCAAAAAAAATTCCTGTCATATCCTGCAATTAATTTTTCAGTCAAATGGTTTTGTTTTGCATTTGTTTTCCCTGAGCGTTCCAGTATAAATTCACTACTTTTGTATATTTGGTTAAATCTAAATTAATTGATCTGTTCTAGGTTTGTTCATGCATTATAACAGAAGCCGAAAGTGTAATGTAAGCTATATCTGCCTTATCCTTTTTTCTGTTTTAAGATGCTTCATAAGTGTTGTTCAAAGGAATCCTTGAAGCAGCTATTTTTCATGGTACTCTCTTTGACACTCAGATTATGAAAATTCTGAGATATGAGCCCTCTTGCATCAATTTAACAAAGTTAGTCAAATTTCACTGGTCTGGATCTTTTTGTATTAATGGTTGAGTTCCTTTTTATCGATTTTTTAAAAAGCCTTTAACTGGGGATGAGCAAAAACTCTATCTTATTAGACCCTTTTTTTAAAATAATGCAGGCCCAAGTTACCCATTAGCCTACTTCACTCATCTCTAAGTACTGATGTGAGACTCATTACTTATACGTTTCATTAAAAGTCTGAGTTCTCAAGTGATTTCCTCTATGTCTGGCATTTTTTTTCTAACATGGAGATTCAGAGGCCTTGGAGAACCAAAGTGTGCCACTGCAAATTTTCACTAATGGAACATTTTAATGAGGCCTTAACGTCAAAGCATTCACGATTTCCATAGATGCCTGTGGAACTTGCTAAGATAATTTTGACAACAAGATTATGGTTCCTGAGAGTAGGTAGTGGGCTGATTTAAATTGTGTTAAACTTTAGGAAAAGTTGTGTATCTTCTGCCATTGCAAAGTTTTCCAGGGATTTCCATTCAAAGGATTTGACCTTTGAAAGGCAAATGTCCTACCACAAAATTGTTGATACCCCAGCTGTACACCAATAATTGTTGTGAGCATTGCTAGGGTGTGCTCCCAGACTGATCTTGGTTATATTAGCTGATCTGTTTGAGCTATTGCAGACATAGTGCACATGAGGTCACTACCCTTTAGTTTGGGGAGTGAATGTTGACTCATTTGCTCAAGTCTTAGGGATTACCTGTGAGGACTAAATTAAGCACTGTAATGCCTCCAAAATGAATAGCCGTTGGATGCTAACCATCTAGATTCCGAAAAGGAGGGTGGGCACATCTATGAGGTAGAAGATGTTGATTGATATGGTTTTGTATTCCAGTATGTTTTGCAAAATCAGAAAACTGTTACAGGGCAGACGAAGGCCATTGAGCCCACATGAATGATAGGAATATAAGAGCAGGACTAGGTCAGTCAGCCATCAAGCCTGCTCAGCCATTGAATACTATAACAGCTGATGGGATGCTTTATTGCCTTCTACCCCCACTGTCTTAACTCTTATTGCACTTCCCTCTTGGGGTAAAGAATTCCAAAAATGCACCATCCTCTAAGTTAGAAGAAAATCTCATTTTGGTTTGGAGGGATATGGCCAGGAGCAGGCCCGGTTTGTGTGGGACTAGTTTAGTTTGGGATAATGCTCAGCATGGACTGGTTGATCCAAAGGGTTTGTTTCCATGCTCTATAATTGATACATTCCCCTTACTTTTTGCATTTGTCCCCTTGCTCTAGACTACCCAACCGATGGAAACATCTTGCCTGAATCTACATTGTCTATCCCTTTGAAGAATTTGGTAGATTTCAATGAGATCATCTCTCATTCTTTGAAACTCTAGAGAATACAGGCCCAGTTTTCCAAATCATAGGACGGTCATACCATGGTGGTAACCAGTCTGGTGAGCCTTCATTGCGCACTCTTTGGGAATAATCCTTCTGAAATAAGGAGACCAAAACTGCGCACAGCACCCCAAAAACAGTCTAACTAAGCTCTTGCACAATTGAAGCAAGACCTCATCACTCATGTACTCAAATCCTCTTGCAATAAACGTTCTGTTAGCCTCCCTAGCAGCTGCATGTTAGCCTTGTGTCTCACTGACAAGGACACCCAACACATCTAGATTTTTCAACCTCTTGCCATTTAAGAAATATTCTGCACATCTGTTCTTCCTATCAAAATGAATAACTTCACATTTTTCCACGTTATATTCCATCTCATGTTCTTGTCCAAACACTTAACCTGTTCAAATCCTCTTGAAAATATTTTACATCTTCACAACACATGTTCCTGCTTCGCTTTGAATCACCTGCAAATGTGGTTGACTCTCTGTTTCCCTCAGAAATGGCCTGGTAAGCCATCCAATTGTACCAATCACTAAAAAGTCCCAAAGAAATGAAACCAGACGGATCACTTGGCATCAACCCACGCACCGGAAAAGACGACAGCAGAAACAGCCCTGTTGACCCTGCAAAGTCCTCCTCACTAACGTGGGAACCATTCCCAAAATTGGGAGAGCTGTCTCTGACTAGTCAAGCAACAGCCTGACATTGTCTGTAATGTGTGATTCAGGAGTATGACTATGTCCCAGACATCACCATTCCTGGAAATGTCCTGTCCCACTGGCAGAGGCAGCAGCACAGTGGTATATCATCAGGAGTGAGTTGCTCTGGGCATCCTCAACATTGACTCCAGACCCCGTGAAGTTTCATGGTTTCAGGTTAAACATGGGCAAGGAAACCTCCTGCTGATTACCATGTACTGTCCTCCCTTAGCTGATGAATCGGTACTCTTCCATGTTGAACAGCACTTAGGGAGGCACTGAGGATGGCAAGGGCACAAAATATACTCTGGGTGGGGGATTTCAATGTCCACCACCAAGAATGGCTTGGCAGCAGTACTACTGATCAAGCTGGTCGGCTTTTCAAGGACATAGCTGCTCGACTGGGTCTGCGATAGATCGTGAGGGAACCAACAAAAGGGCAAAATGTACTTGACCTCGTCCTTGCCAATCTGTTAGCTGCAGGTGCATCTGTCCGTGACAGTATTGGTAAGAACGACCACCGCACAGTCCTTGTGGAGATGAAGTCTTGCCTTCGCATTGAAAATAACTTCCATCTTGTGTGGCACTATCACCGTGCTAAATGGGACAGACTTAGAACAGATCTAGCAACACAAGACTGGGCATCCACGAGGGGCTGTGGGCCGTCAACAGCAGCAGACGTTTATTCCACAATTCATAACCCCGAGGCCCAGCATATCCCCCACTCAACCATTGCCATCAAGCCAGGGGACCAACCCTGGTTCAATGGAGAGTGCAGAAAGGCATGCCAGGAGCAGCAACAGGTGTACCTGAAGATGAGGTATCAACCTGGTGAAACCACCAAACAGGACTACTAGCATGCCAAACTCTAAGCAGCAAGAGATGGAGCTTAAACAATCCCACAACCAACGGGTCAGATCTAAGCTCTGCAGTCCTGCCACATAGAGTCGTGAATAGTGGTGGGTGATTAAACAACTCACTGGAGGAGGAATCTCCACAAATATCCCCATCCTCAATGATGGAAGAGCCCAGCACATCAGTGCAAAAGATAAGGCTGAAGCATTCTCAGCAATCTTCAGCCAGAGGTACCGAGTGGATGATCCATCGCGGTCTCCTCAACAGTGGTCCCCAGAATTACGGATACCAGTCTTCAGCCAATTCGATTCACTCCACGGGATATCAAGAGAAGGTTAGGCACTGGATACTACAAAGGCTCCAGGCTCAGACAACATTCCGGCAAAGATACTGAAAACGTGTGCTCCAGAACTCTCTGCTCCCCTAGCCAAGCTGTCCAGTGCAGTTACAACACTGTCAGCTGCCTGACAATGTGGGGAAACTGCCCAAGTATATCCTGTAAGTAAAAAGCAAGGCAAATCCAACCCAGCCAATTACTGCCCCATCAGTCTACTGTCGATCATCAGTAAAGTGATGAAAGGTATTATCAACAGTGCTATCCAGCAGCACCTGCTCAGCAGTAACTTGCTCAGTGATGCCTAGTTTGGGTTCTGCCAGGGCCACTTGGCTCCTGACCTCATTACAGCCTTGGTTCAAACATGGACAAAAGAGCTTAGTTCCAGAGATATTGTGAGAATGACTGACAGATCTCGGCATCAAGGAGCCGTAACAAAACTAGAATCAGTGGGTAACGGGGGCAAACTCTCCAGTGGTTAGTCATACCGTACCCACCAGAAGATGGTCATGGTCGTGGTTGTTCGAGATCAGTCTTTGCAGCTCCAGGATATCTCTGCAGGAGTTCCTCAGGGTAGTGTCCTAGGCCCAACCATCTTCAGATTTATCAATAACCTTTCCTCCATTATAAGGTCAGAAATGGGGATGTTCACCAATGACTGCACAATGTTCACCATCCGCTACTCCTCAGACACTGAAGCAGTCTGTGTCCAAATGCAACAAGATTTGGATAATATCCAGCTTGGGTTGACAAATGACAAGTGACATTCACACCACACAAACGCCAGGCTATGACCATTACCAAGAAGAAACAATCTAACCACCACCCCTTGACAGTCAACCGTGTTACCATCACTGAATCCCCCACTATCAACATCCTGAGGGTTTTTGATCAGAAACTCAACTGGACTCATCATATAAACACAGTGGCTAAAAGAACAGATCAGAGGCTAGGAATATGCGGCGAGTAACTCACCACCTGACCCCTCAAAGCCTGTCCGTCATCTACAAGGCACAAGTCAGGAGAGTGATGGAATACTCCCCACTTGCCTGGATGAGTGCAG